TACTAAAATTTTACTGCGAGTGTGTATTATCAGTGATGATACATGGTGATGGTCCTGGTCTGTGCGTGGTGATATTTGATTGAGATTTAAGGACTTCGCTATTAGATTCATTCTATTGTTGTAAAACATAGGTATTCTTTACATCAAATCAAACTGAGCTGAACTTGACACGGTTCACCATGTGTTCGAGATAGAATGTGAAAGGAAAGCCAGGTATGTATTGGATGTAAATATACCTGTATGCTCGACTTTTAACTCCGAAGATGTCCAGCATAATGGCATCTCAATGAATGGTTCTAATGTTTATAGTTGTATTGTGGTGAAACGGATACATATGTGCTCTGATTGTCAGTAACATGTATTTGACAGACAAATGAAATAAGGACTTGAGCAAGTCTTCGACTACAAGGATTCAATTAGAGTGGTATGCAGGGTATAATTATATGTAGACACTACCTATATTTGTCTGTATATATAGAAAACCCGTCATTTATACAAATATAATTAAATATACACCGAACACGATCTTCAAGTTTCACGCTGGCTGACTACCAAGCTTTGACCTTGACCGATATATCGAACATAGAACAATCTAGAACGTTCCTTAGTAAATTTGCCGTAAATAGATCCCAGGTTGGCCCGTTCACATGCTTACAAAGCATTTTGATTCACACCGGGTCTTCATAACATGATCGGGCAGGTCGATAGATCCATTCTAACAGCGAATTAAGTTTCGTGATTTTACAATCCGAAGGTATTTCTCTAAAATCAAATATCTAAATTACCGTTTGTATGTCATTTATCAATTAAATTTGATGCCCCGACAATAACACTATTCTGGAAAAAAAAGAATACAGTATTAAGGACGATATTGGAATTGTTGAGAGTCGAACTCGCTCCCCAGTGGCGCTGTTTTTCAGAGGTAGTCGTCTAGCCCGACCAGGATGTGTGTTTTATCAGCAATGAGAAAAAGTAGATAAGGAATACAAAATATCAACATAGCACTTACTGTTACTGACAACAGGTGTCGAGGTACTTTCTGGTGTCAGATTTACATATAAAGTCTTGGGAGGTTATAATGGTATTAATCCTTTATGGACTGTTGTTTACGACATAAGATTCAGCACATCTATAACCAACTAATCAACCAATCATTTACCTCCTACCACTACCATCGACTACTAACCCTACTTACCCCCACAACAACACCACCTTCCAAACACCCCCACCAACAACTACCATTAACCCCACCCCCACTCCCACACCCACCTCCAATTACCACCCCATCACCACCCCAACCTCAACTCTCGCCCTTACCCTCACCCCCACTCTCACCTCCGACACTACTACCATTAACCCCATCACCAATCACCACCCCATTCCCCCTACAACCACCACCACTACCAACCCTACTCACCATCACTCACCCCCATTCCCCCTACAACCACCAACCACCAATCCTACTCACCATCACTCACCCCCATTCCCCCTACAACCACCACCACTACCAACCCTACTCACCATCACTCACCCCCATTCCCCCTACAACCACCATCATTACCAACCCTACTCACCATCACTCACCCCCATTCCCCCTACCACCACCAACCACCAACCCTACTCACCATCACTAACACCCATTCCCCCTACAACCACCACCACTACCAACCCTACTCACCATCACTCACCCCCATTCCCCTTAACACCACCAAATACCAACCCTACTCACCATCACTCACCCCCATTCCCCCTACAACCACCATCACTACCAACTCTACTCACCATCACTCACCCCCATTCCCCCTACCACCACCAACCACCAACCCTACTCACCATCACTCACCCCCATTCCCCCTACCACCACCACCACTACCAACCCTACTCACCATCACTCACCCCCATTCCCCTAACACCACCAACCACCAACCCTACTCACCATCACTCACCCCCATTCCCCCCACCACCACCAACCACCAACCCTACTCACCATCACTCACCCCCATTACCCAAAACACCACCAACCACCAACCCTACTCACCATCACTCACCCCCATTCCCCCACCACCACCAAATACCAACCCTACTCACAATCACTCACCCCCATTCCCCACCACCACCAACCACCAACCCTACTCACCATCACTCACCCCCATTTCCCTTAACACAACCAACCACCAACCCTACTCACCATCACTCACCCCATTCCCCTTACAACCACCACCAACCACCAACCCTACTCACCATCACTCACCCCCATTCCCCCCACCACCACCAACCACCAACCCTACTCACCATCACTCACCCCCATTCCCCTTAACACCACCAACCACCAACCCTACTCACCATCACTCACCCCCATTCCCCCACCACCACCAACCACCAACCCTACTCACCATCACTCACCCCCATTTCCCTTAACACCACCAACCACCAACCCTACTCACCATCACTCACCCCCATTCCCCCCACCACCACCAAATACCAACCCTACTCACAATCACTCACCCCCATTCCCCACCACCACCAACCACCAACCCTACTCACCATCACTCACCCCCATTCCCCTTAACACCACCAACCACCAACCCTACTCATCATCACTCACCCCCATTCCCCCACCACCACCAAATACCAACCCTACTCACCATCACTCACCCCCATTTCCCCTACCACCACCAACAGCCATCACCCCTAGTCATCTACTCATTTACACAGGACCAACTTAACTGATGGAATGCTTAACAGGTAAACCAACAGGTAGGTCACGGTAAGATATCATGGTCACGCCCCATTAGACAATTACAGTGTCATGAACAATTTCATCCACTAACTGTGTGAAATATACAACATATCAGGTTCACACTAGAAAAAGTACACATAGTTATGTCATAAATAGCACACCCTTATCACAGGCAAAACTTCAAACTATGTACACGATATCGATACGTAACAGGCACGCTTCTAAGTCCTAAACTCCACGTCTGTATAATATTGACATTTAAATTGAAATATGTACAAAATAAATTCACAGGTGGAAACACAAATTTCGGTAGCTCGTACACAGCTGCCGCATATATAAACGAAAACAATCGTATATGTACATTGTAACCTTGACCTAATTAATGTATTAGATACCTATAAAATAACATTGGCCTATTTATGATCGACACAGTAGATACATCTACGGTAACATTGACCTAGTTATTTCGACACAAAATACCTATAAAATTACCTTGGACTAGTAATGCTGACGCAGTAGATACCTGTAGTGACCGTGGCCTAGTTATGCCGACACAAGATACCTGTCCAGTAACCTTGGCCTAGTTATGCCGACACAAGATACCTGTACAGTAACCTTGGCCTAGTAATGCCGACGCAGTAGATACCTGTACAGTGACCGTGGTCTAGCTATGCCGACACAAGATACCTGTACAGTAACCTTGGCCTAGTAATGCCGACGCAGTAGATACCTGTACAGTGACCGTGGCCTAGTTATGCCGACACAAGATACCTGTACACTAACCTTGGCCTAGTTATGCCGACACAAGATACCTGTACAGTAACTTTGGCCTAGTTATGCCGACACAAGATACCTGTACAGTGACCGTGGCCTAGTTATGCCGACACAAGATACCTGTACAGTAACCTTGGCCTAGTAATGCCGACGCAGTAGATACCTGTACAGTGACCGTGGCCTAGTTATGCCGACACAAGATACCGGTACAGTAACCTTGGCCTAGTAATGCCGACGCAGTGGATACCTGTACAGTAACCTGTCAATATGACCTTGATTTTGGTCAAACAGTGTAATTATCGTGATATCAAGCATTCGTAAGTTACATTGACCTTGATATTTGTCGAGGAGTTCAATTACTTCCTGTCATTCATTGTATATCTTACGACCTTCACCTTCGTCGCACAGTGTAGTAATGTTAACATTTTTGTTGCTTGTACTCTGTAGTTATTTTCACTGCGACATTTCTCGTACAATATGGTGATTTTTACCTTGATCTTTGTCGTACACTATGGTAATTTTCACATTGACCTTTGTCGTACACTATGGTAATTTTCACATTGACCTTTGTCGTACAGTGTATTTGTTTTTATCTTGGTCTTTGTCGTACAGTCTATTTTTCACGCTGACCTTTGTCGTACAGTATGGTTATTTTCACCTTGACCTTTGTCGTACAGTGTGGTTATTGTACTGTTTAATATGTCATTGAACTTTATAAATCTTTTTATAATTAATATAGTTTGAGGATGTTGTACCAGAACTCTAAATAAAGAGAGGCCGCATTGTAACATATCATCATAAGTGACATGAATACTATTGTTAAAATGCTTGTAGAAAAATATTATATAAAGCATGCACCACATGAAAGGGATATATGATAAATAACGATGTACGCCAACTTACTCTATAACCCGTGTATACTTTATAGATTTTATGAACACGTTTTCACGTACCTGTCATCTTTGTTTCACCACCATCCGAACTCTTGGCCTTCCAGCTGGTTATAATATTGTAATGAACTCCCTGACGCAGCAGTAGCGCTCAGCAATTTTCTTGGAAATCCCTCTCAAACCCGTTTAGCCTTATTTGGTCAGATAGTACTATCAAGCACACCATTACAACTGGTTGGCAGCCCGATGTTTCTCACCGAATTTTTCTATAACGCAGTTTGGGTTTATCAGAACTAATTCATACATTCGTATTGGGGATTTTTAGGTGTTGAACACGTGTACTTTGTTGTTTACAATAGAGACCGGGTTTTGTGTGTTAGTTATGTGATCCTTTGGTAGAGTGGTATGGTATATCATAATAGAGTCATACCTTTTATGGACATGTCTCAATAGAACTATCAGGTCAAGGCGAAGGGGGATTCATTAACATATGCCATGTGAGCTGTTGTCTGCCCAAATATAGCCATTACCTACAGTACACAACACAGTATTGCCTTATATAGAAGTTTAACCTTTTACCTTCATTTTACAGCGATCATGGGTAATGGAAGGGAGGTAACTCGAGTTTGACGTGTGTTGAAATGCCATTGACGTCGACTCAGGTAAGTGTTTTTTAGTACCTGTGTGCAGATCAACGTTTACAGCTCGAGCTCATAGTGTTTGTGACCAAGTAATTAAGAACTATACCTAATGTTACCATAGCTAGCACAGATTAATCTTAAACTATTACTTTAATGACAAATACACCAGAGATTGTGCTGATGTAATCAAGAGCTGTAGTCACAGTCAGTTCATTCTTGTTTACAACACGAATTCTGATTATACTACAATGAGTCTTGTATGATATACTCAAAATTGACGTACTCATTACGAGTGTGTGTACCCTATATATTGATGTACTCATTACGAGTGTGTGTACCCTATATATTGACGTACTCATTACGAGTGTGTGTACCCTATAAATTGACGTACTCATTACGAGTGTGTGTACCCTATATATTGATGTACTCATTACGAGTGTGTGTACCCTATATATTGATGTACTCATTGCGAGTGTGTGTACCCTATATATTGACGTACTCATTACGAGTGTGTGTACCCTATATATTGATATACTCATTACGAGTGTGTGTACCCTATATATTGATGTACTCATTACGAGTGTGTGTACCCTATAAATTGATGTACTCATTACGAGTGTGTGTACCCTATAAATTGATGTACTCATTACGAGTGTGTGTACCCTATAAATTGACGTACTCATTACTAGTGTGTGTACCCTATATATTGATGTACTCATTACTAGTGTGTGTACCCTATCAATTGATATACTCATTACTAGTGTGTGTACCCTATATATTGATGTACTCATTACTAGTGTGTGTACCCTATATATTGATGTACTCATTACGAGTGTGTGTACCCTATAAATTGACGTACTCATTACGAGTGTGTGTACCCTATATATTGACGTACTCATTACTAGTGTGTGTACCCTATAAATTGATGTACTCATTACGAGTGTGTGTACCCTATATATTGACGTACTCATTACGAGTGTGTGTACCCTATATATTGATGTACTCATTACGAGTGTGTGTACCCTATATATTGACGTACTCATTACGAGTGTGTGTACCCTATATATTGACGTACTCATTACGAGTGTGTGTACCCTATAAATTGATATACTCATTACGAGTGTGTGTACCCTATATATTGACGTACTCATTACGAGTGTGTGTACCCTATATATTGATGTACTCATTACGAGTGTGTGTACCCTATATATTGACGTACTCATTACGAGTGTGTGTACCCTATAAATTGATATACTCATTACGAGTGTGTGTACCCTATCAATTGATATACTCATTACTTGTGTGTGTACCCTATATATTGACGTACTCATTACGAGTGTGTGTAGACGTACTCATTACTAGTGTGTGTACCCTATATATTGATGTACTCATTACGAGTGTGTGTACCCTATAAATTGATGTACTCATTACTAGTGTGTGTACCCTATATATTGATGTACTCATTACGAGTGTGTGTACCCTATAAATTGATGTACTCATTACGAGTGTGTGTACCCTATAAATTGATGTACTCATTACGAGTGTATGTACCCTATAAATTGATGTACTCATTACGAGTGTGTGTACCCTATATATTGACGTACTCATTACTAGTGTGTGTACCCTGTATATTGACGTACTCATTACTAGTGTGTGTACCCTGTATATTGACGTACTCATTGCGAGTGTGTGTACCCTATCAATTGATATACTCATTACTAGTGTGTGTACCCTATATATTGATGTACTCATTACGAGTGTGTGTACCCTATAAATTGAACTGCTCATAACTAGAGTGTGTAGGGGATATATGGATGTACTCATTACGAGTGTGTGTACCCTATATATTGATGTACTCATTACTAGTGTGTGTACCCTATATATTGATGTACTCATTACGAGTGTGTGTACCCTATAAATTGATGTACTCATTACGAGTGTATGTACCCTATAAATTGATGTACTCATTGTGCGTGTGTGTACCCTATATATTGATGTACTCATTACGAGTGTGTGTACCCTATAAATTGACGTACTCATTACTAGTGTGTGTACCCTGTATATTGACGTACTCATTGCGAGTGTGTGTACCCTATCAATTGATATACTCATTACTAGTGTGTGTACCCTATATATTGATGTACTCATTGCGCGTGTGTGTACCCTATATATTGATGTACTCATTACTAGTGTGTGTACTAGTGTGTGTACCCTATATATTGATGTACTCATTACGAGTGTGTGTACCCTGTACCCTATATATTGATGTACTCATTGCGCGTGTGTGTACCCTATATATTGATGTACTCATTACTAGTGTGTGTACCCTATATATTGATGTACTCATTACGAGTGTGTGTACCCTATATATTGATGTACTCATTACGAGTGTGTGTACCCTATATATTGATGTACTCAGTGTGTACTAGTGTGTGTACCCTATATATTGATGTACTCATTACGAGTGTGTGTACCCTATATATTGATGTACTCATTGATTACTCATTAGTGTGTGTACCCTATATATTGATGTACTCATTAGTGTGTGTACCCTATATATTGATGTACTCATTACTAGTGTGTGTACCCTATATATTGATGTACTCATTACGAGTGTGTGTACCCTATAAATTGATGTACTCATTACGAGTGTGTGATTGACGTACTCATTACGAGTGTGTGTACCCTATAAATTGATATACTCATTACGAGTGTGTGTACCCTATAAATTGACGTACTCATTACTAGTGTGTGTACCCTATATATTGATGTACTCATTACGAGTGTGTGTACCCTATATATTGATGTACTCATTACGAGTGTGTGTACCCTATCAATTGATATACTCATTACGAGTGTGTGTACCCTATATATTGATGTACTCATTACTAGTGTGTGTACCCTATATATTGATGTACTCATTACTAGTGTGTGTACCCTATATATTGATGTACTCATTACTAGTGTGTGTACCCTATATATTGATGTACTCATTACTAGTGTGTGTACCCTATATATTGATGTACTCATTCACGAGTGTGTGTACCCTATCATAGTGTGTGTACCCTATAAATTGACGTACTCATTACGAGTGTGTGTACCCTATATATTGACGTACTCATTACTAGTGTGTGTACCCTATAAATTGACGTACTCATTACTAGTGTGTGTACCCTATATATTGATGTACTCATTACGAGAGTGTGTACCCTATCAATTGATGTACTCATTGCGAGTGTGTGTACCGTATATATTGACGTACTCATTACGAGTGTGTGTACCCTGTATATTGACGTACTCATTACTAGTGTGTGTACCCTGTATATTGACGTACTCATTACTAGTGTGTGTACCCTGTATATTGATGTACTCATTGCGTTTGTGTGTACCCGTACTTGTGTGTACCCTATATATTGATGTACTCATTACTAGTGTGTGTACCCTATATATTGATGTACTCATTGAGTGTGTGCTATATATTGTGTGTGTACCCTATATATTGATGTACTCATTACGAGTGTGTGTACCCTATAAGTTGATGTACTCATTGCGCGTGTGTGTACCCTATATATTGATGTACTCATTACTAGTGTGTGTACCCTATATATTGATGTACTCATACCCTATATTGATGTACTCAGTGTGTGTACCCTATATATTATATATGTACTCATTATAGTGTGTGATGTACTCATTACGAGTGTGTGTACCCTATATATTGATGTACGTGTGTGTACCCTATATATTGATGTATCATTACTAGTGTGTGTACTATATAGTGTGTGTACCCTATATATTGATGTACTCATTACGAGTGTGTGTACCCTATATATTGATGTACTCATTACTAGTGTGTGTACCCTATATATTGATGTATATAGTGTGTGTACCCTATATATTGATGTACTCATTGCGGGTGTGTGTACCCTGTATATTGACGTACTCATTACTAGTGTGTGTACTAGTACGCGTGTGTGTACCCTATATATTGATGTACTCATTGCGCGTGTGTGTACCCTATATATTGATGTACTCATTACTAGTGTGTGTACCCTATATATTGATGTACTCATTACTAGTGTGTGTACCCTATATATTGATGTACTCATTACTAGTGTGTGTACCCTATATATTGATGTACTCATTACTAGTGTGTGTACCCTATATATTGATGTACTCATTGCGCGTGTGTGTACCCTATATATTGATGTACTCATTACTAGTGTGTGTACCCTATATATTGATGTACTCATTGCGCGTGTGTGTACCCTATATATTGATGTACTCATTACTAGTGTGTGTACCCTATATATTGACGTACTCATTGCGCGTGTGTGTACCCTACAAGTTGATACTTATTCGTGACGTTGTTTAAAACGAGCCGTTATGCTATGTACGTGTATCGCATTCTGACCTGAGCAATTAGGGTGAAGTCTTTTGTCAATGGCCACCAGCACATCAGGAATCGGTCCGTCAACATAATTGTCACAGGTAAGGCGCGTAGCATCATATAACTCGGATCTTCTTTTGAGAATGTGTTCGGCAATGCTCTAACCATTTATCTCTAATCTTCCACGAGTTATTCCCCCTACCATAGTTTAGAGCGGCCGTGACTGGTTCAGATGGTGTTTGGATTCGACGAACACTATAAAATAGATTTACTCCATAATTAGTTTATTTACGCCATTATAAACTTGTCACTTATTTATTAGAAGTTTGTGTACTCTAAAATGAGTGGACTTACTCTGTAACGATTTCCGTACTGTATGTGATGAATTGATATACTATGTTTGAGTTTATTCCGTTAGGATTTGACTTACTGTATGATTAGTTGGTGTACTCTATAATAAACATTCTATTTTTTATTCTTTAATGAGTTGGTACTATTTGGTGACTTGATAATAGATTGACGTACCCTGTGCTAAGTTTTGACTCTTTAATGAGATGGTAACCTCTATTTATTTGGTGACTTGATAAAGGAATGATGTGCTCTGTACTGAGTTTTGACTCATTAATGAGTG